CGAAATGTTTAAATAAAATAATACCATAGTAATATATTTAATAATTATGTTATAACTAAAAGGAAATGTTCAATGTAGTAAACACATCTAAAAATTATTAACATGTATATCCATAAAGAAATTTTAGACCAACATTTCTGATGTAAAGTTTAAATATAAAATACAAAGTATACAAACTATACATTCTAAATATATAAGCAAAAAGCATATGCATGTATACACACAGGCACATATATAATATTGGAAGACTGGAAATTCTCAAGATAGTGAAATTATTGCTTCACACTGTGTATAAATTAAATAATGCCAATATATCATATTTATTATTAAAAATTGTCATTTTCATGATCCAATGCAAAAAATGCTTAAGATATATTTTGTTTGTAGTTTGTATATTATCTTCTCTTAGATATACCTTTTTTCATTATTTGATACTGGTTGCTGCAAGTTTAACAATATTCTTTTTTAATTTACCAATATGACTACTTAGCATAAATGTTGTGTCCCTTCAGTCTTTGCAGGTTTTGATTTTCCTACTTTAACAACTTCTACTTCAAGCTGATATTTTTCACCTCCTACTTCACAAGTGTAATGGTCTTACAACAGCATGATTGTACTTATAAATACCCCACCTCTCACTTAACACCCAACAGTTCACACTTTACATGTTACATTTCACAAATGGATAGCAGCATATTTCCATTTCCTACATCTTTCTTGTCCTTTGACTTTATGCTATTGTTATATTTTCATTTGTACATGCAGTAAAATACATCTTTGTAAGATTATTTTGCAAAGCATTCTATTATTTTTAAGAATTTATAAGAGGATTAAATAAAACAGAGGTTGTATTTACACACTGATTTTCCATTTTTATTTGGTATTCTCTCCTTCTTGCAGATTGAAGTTTCCATCTTGTGTCATTTTCATTCAGCCTGAAAAACGTCTTTTAGCATTCCTTGTAGCACATTCTGCTTGAAATGAATTTCCTTAGGCTTAATTCATCTGAAAATATCTTTATTTCATCACCTTTGGGGAGGAAATAATTTCACTGGATGTAGACTTCAAGATTAACAGCTTTTTGCTTTCAGCACCTTAAAATTTTATTATATATCATCTTCTGGTGTCCATTATTTCTGATGAAAATTATGTATCCATTTGTATTATTTTTCTTCTGCATGTCATGCATTTTTCCCCCTCTTTGAACATTTTCCTATTTTGAAATCATATGTGTGACTCAGAATGACTCTGATATGGCCAATGTGATTTTCTTAGTATTTATCTTGCTTACTGATTTCTGACCTTCTTAGAACTGTAAGTCAATATTTTTCTTCCAGTTTTCAAGACTATTTTATTGTTTCATTATTCTCTCTTGTCCTTTTGGAGCACTGATGCATATCTATTAAACTGTGTACTATTGTTTCATAGTTTCATGGGGTCATCCTGCTCATTTTTTCTGGAATCATTTTATATTTGTTCTTGAGATCATATAATGTCTCTTCATCTGTGTACTGAATTCTCCTAAATTGATGAGCTTCAACTCCAAACTGTTTCCTTTAAGAATCTTATTAGGGCTTAGTTTTATCCTTTGTAAAAGTGGGTCTGAGATTGTACTGCCCAGCTCTCAGCCAAGGACTTCTGGGGAAACCCCAGCGGACTTCTTGATCTCCATAGACACTTCTCTTAATGACCTGCCCCCCAAATTTAACAATTTCAAAAGTCCAAAACTCTGATCTCTGCATCTCTAGATATGAGACATTTTCATATTCTGATTGACATCCACGTCACTTACTGCAGCTGGGGAATTGCTCCCCTGCAGAGATACAGGACAACTATGTGAGCTCACCTTGTTTCTTTCTTCTCAAGAACTACAGCTCATTTGTACAGGTATGTTTTTGGTAGATATTTAATTTTAAAATTTATTTACATTTCTACTTGGTTATACCATGCCCACTCCAATCACACTCTTCCTTTCTTAATCTTGAGTTGCTGACTTTAGTTGTCTCTTTGATATTCCAATTCTGCTGTCACACAATGTTTTTTTTTTTTTATTATATACTTTTAAATTTCAATGGCTTTGGGGAAGGACAAATAACTGTGGTCTGAGTTTTAAGTGTATCCACCACCCCTACCTCTGCATCTTTTACCCAATAGGTGATTTTTGACCCTCCACATCTTGCTCCCACACTTCTGAGTCTCCAGTGTCTATTATATCATTCTTTATGTCTTTGCATATCCTTAGTTTAGTTCCCACTTACAAGTGAGAACATGTGGTGTTTGGTTTTCTATTCCTGAATTAGTTCACTTAGGATGATGGTCTTCAATTCTATCCAAGTTGTTGGCTTTTAATATGTTCTCTATGCCTCTTGGTTTTTAATTGCTTCATATTTTCTTTTCTGTACTGTCGAACTCTGTTTCCTTTTGCTCCATAGTCACCTGATGTGGACATTTCAGTCATTTAAAGTATGAGAGTATGAGATTCCTTCTGTCAGGTGTGACTATAAATGAATATTATAGTTCAGCCAGTCTCTTATCTTCCCTAGTTGTTAATGGAAAAACAAAAAGATTTTGAAGCCAAGGAATACAGCTTGTATTTTAAATAGATACTTGTGCTCAAAATTGTTATTTCATAGTGCACAAGCAAAACACAATATTTTTTCCTTGGAAAATTGTTCCTAATTCCTATGATAATTTTGCATATGTCATTATGTCACCTTGTTTTACGAACAATATGGCATTCTACAAAGAACATGATAACTTGCAAATCTTTGCCTGGTTAAGACCACTGTTTTTGAGGATCTAGTATCTCTAAAAAGTACCTATTTTGGGGGCTGTTGCCTGTTTGTTATTTCAAGACAGATTTGAACTTGAAGAGTCTACCCTGGGAATAATATATCAAATTTAATTGAAGTTAGAAAGGGTCAGGAGTCAAGCAGGCTAACATATAACCTTGGCAATATAAAAAAATTACTTGTTATAAGCGGAAAGGATTAGATTAGTGAAAAAAAGGGAAGTGGCCAGGATATGAAAACATTTGAATTTAGGCAGTGAGGGAAAAGAGCTTCTTAAATTTTAGCATACATGAAAATCACCCTGAGAGTGTGCCAAATACATATACACACACACACACACACACACACACACACACATACACACACATCCCATGTCCCTTCTCCCAAAAATTTAGTGTCAGAATTTCTGAAATAGTGACTTAAGTCTGTAATTTTAACAAATTTCTTTTCAGATTCTGTTTCAAGTGATTGGAAGTTACATTTTGAGAAGCTGATAGAACATGGCTTTGTCTAATCTTTAGGAAACATTAATTTGAAGCTGCGATTTCAGAATCTTTTAGCATTTCTGCATGTTCCAGTTACAGTCAAGGATTGCTGCAGTTGGGAAGTTGGAGGTAACAAATGATTCCAAGGTTTTATGCCTGCACACCTGGGAGAATAATAATACTGTTAATCAAGATGAAGGACACATGGCAAAATCAGATTTTGGAAAGAAAAAAGATAATGTATATTTCCTTCCTTCCTCCCTTCCTCCTTCCCTCCCTGCCTCCCTTCCTTCTCATTTTTTTGAGAAATGTTAAACTTTCTTGTCAAGTAGGGGAGATAGGCATTAAATACAAACTCTATTCCATATATGGTGTGTATTCTTACTTCTGAGCTAGAAAAAAATGGGAAATCAAAATAGCCACTTTATTACTGATAAATCCCATTTGGAAGCTGATGCTAGGGTGCCACATATGGACTTCCTCACATTGCAACCCAACATGAAGAGATCTTACCCCTGGAATTTTATCAGGAGTAAGCAACCACATCACCCTGTTCACTGAAAGTAGCTAAAAGACACTGTCGTTCTGTTTATCCCACTTAAAAGAGTTTACAAAATCTGTAGTGTAGGTTTTGTACGTTTAATTCATAACACACACTTCAGAATTCAAAATTAGTGTGATTATTGTTGTTATCCCACTTTAACCTAAGTTCTATGAGGAAAAGGGCCAAGTCTTACTTTATCACTATTCTATACTCAGAACTGAGCATAGTGCTAAGCAAAGGGTACAGACGATAAACGATTTGTTGAATACATTTTAAATAACATGACAAACATGAACTTCTTCTGATCAAATTTTTTGTTTGTTAATATCTGCTTAAACTAAAGTTAAAGTTAACACGTACAGAAGAATTCATTCAAAACTACTGTAGCAGGGAAGAGGGACCAGAACCCAGAATTTAACTCCTCTAAAAGGAAAAAAAGACTGGAGAGTTTTTAAGAGCTGGAGTGGGATGACCATAGGTCATCTGCATTTGCTGATTGACTTTATGCAAAGGAAAATTAAACTTTCTCTTATTTTGATAACAGGAGGTGGTTTTACAATTTGAAGCAAAAAGCCTGCAGAGACCAGGCTCCTAACATCCCTCAGGTGGGAACTATCTTCCTTGCAGATTACATTTCAAAGGGATGTCTCACAGGTCCTTGAGAAAGCCGGCCTTGAGTTACAAAACTGGCAAGGAGCTCAAAGGGGCTGAGAAAGAATTTACAATTTTAAAATGTCTAAAGTAAATGCTCTAAGCAAAGAGAGGGGTTAGGGGCCTATAGGCAGGAAAAAGGCAAAACAAAGCAAACTGCTTAAAATTTGCAGTTAACCGGAGGAAAACTAAGCCCGTTTTGCTTACTGATTAAAATTAGACTTTGCAGTTTTGCACCAAGGAATTCCAATTATGAGCTTTCTGTTTCTCATAGTTCCTGCATGCAAAGGTTGGCTGCATACTACACAACCCTTTCCTGTCTAAAGTATCTCCTTGTTACCCACCTTAGACCACTGTTTACTAGTATCAGAGAGCAAAGCCTCCAGAAAGCTCACGGTTTTCCGCCTTCGGTCAGCGCGCATGCGCCCTCGGCCCCGGACTCTGACGTCACCGGGAGCGCCCCGCCCCTACACGTTAGCAACCGAAAGCGTCCATAGAAGCAGTGGCTGCTGAGATGTACGAACTTCCGGTTCTCCCCGCAGCTGCCGCTGCTGTCGCCTCTGCCACCTGCTACGGCCGGTCCTCAGCCCGGGATTTAGTCACCTCTTCTTTCTTCTCCACCGCGCCCATGGTCCCTCCTGGAGCCAGGGTGGCGGGTCCGGCGGCTTCCGCGTGGTGAGAGAACGGTCCGGGGACGATGCAGGCCCCGCGCTGCTGCTACTGTCTTAGCCGCCTCCTGGCCTCGGTCCTCCTACTGCTACTGCTCTCAGCGCTGAGCGGGCCCCGGCCAGTGCTGCTGCAGGCGGTGGAGGCCGCACCGGGCCCTGGGCCTCCAGACCCCGGGCCGCGGACGCTGCCGCCTCTGCTGCCTGACCCCGCCGCCGCCCAGCAGCAAGGCCGTGCTCCGGCTGAAGCTACTGGGCCGCGGGGATCCGAGGGTGGCAATGGCAGCAGCCCCGGGGCGGGGCTTGAGGCAGACAATCACGGAGGGAAGGCCGGGGAAGGCTCAGTGGGTGGAAGCCTTGCCGTGAGCCCTAACCCTGGAGACAAGCCCATGACCCAGCGGGCCCTGACTGTGTTGATGGTGGTGAGCGGAGCAGTGCTGGTTTACTTCGTGGTCAGGACGGTCAGGTGAGGCGAAACCTTCGTGGGACTTCCCCGCGGGTCTGAGTTGGGGAGGCCAGTGACCCCCTACAGCAAGGCTGATTTCTGTGACCTTCTTTCCCCTTCCCCAGCATCAGGGGTTCCTCTCAGAGTGAGATGTGATGTTGACTGTCACTGTTGCCTTTGGGCAAATTTAGACTTCCAAGTGATTGCTGCTTTTTACGTATAATTTATTTCCCCACTTCCAAATCTCTTAATCTTGCCTGAGGCCCACCTCAACCTCAAATGGCGCCCTTCTTTGAAGTGGAAATAATCTTTATTCCCTTTCATTTTGATTTTATTCCCTTTCATTTCACTGTCTTGTAATATTTTTCCCTTTCTACTCTATATATGTTTGTGTACCTAATTTATCAAAATTCTACCTATTAAAATGCAAACTCTTTAAAGGTAGAATACCTGTTTAGTGGGTTTGTGAATCTTAGAGTTCTTTGTACAGTGATTCCACTTAATAGATAATCACTGTTAATTTGAGGGGATTAATAGTAGTACATGATGCCACTGCAAAACTCATAGATTATTTGGCTCAACCGAGTGGCTAGCAAAGTTTTAAAACAAAGTTTATTAGAAACAGAAGAGGGGAGAGATAGATACGCCAGAGCTGGCATGGGCGAAAGAAACCGTACTTTTGCTTTTTGCAATAGGCCTGATATACCTTCACAATGATTGATAAACTAAAGAGTGTGGAGCTCAGGTAACCATCACTCTGCCTTTGATGGGTGGAGGGATGATTCTATTATCATTTCTAGGGCCTTTTTATTCCCCGTCTGAGAACCACCTTGATGGAGCTGAGGGTGTGGGGTGGATTGGGAGTCCACATTGAATTCACATTCCAGCCTCAGTACCGTTCAACCTACGGACAGAGTGTCTGGATACCTTCTAAAACCCGACTACAATAAAGTTACCTAAACGTTTTCTAAAACCTGCCTATAATAAGTTTATCTATCTATGCCTAATCTGTACAAGCTACCCTGCCTTAGTTTAAAAGGGCCTTACTGTGAGTATTTTATTTTTATAAAATTTAGAAGAAGTGTTCTTCTTTACCATACCAATGTTTCATTCATTCATTTACTTATATTTTAAAAGCATGGAGTACAATTCAGGGTTAGGTAAACGGTCATTATTCAGGTACTCTTGTTGATGAGGTGTGCCCCCTCCCTGCCCCCACAATTTCCCACCACTGCCAATCTCTTTCTTATAGTATTAAAATTGTTTAAGGTCTGCTTATGAGTGAGAACATGTGGTACTCAGTTCTTTGTTTCTGTGATAGATCACTCAGTATTATAGACTCTAAGTTCATTAATGGCCTTTAATTTGTCACCTAAGTAACTAGTTTATATCCAGTTGGGGACCACTTTGAAGTGTTGACAAACAGAGCCAAGATGTCACCATTAGCTAGCCAAGAGAAGAGCTGAGAGAAAGCTGTCTAGCAGTTTCCTCAATTATAAAATAAAAGTGTTGGGTAGGTTTGTAGGATTGCACTGTTTTATTGTTTTCCATACTTCTTCATGCTTTTCCCTTAATTATCCTTTGTATCGTTAGTATCTTGTGTTAAATGTATTATTGAAAGAAAAAGTTTTCTTTTGAACAAGACATTATTATATGGAATGGAATACTAAGATCATTTGACGTAAATAGTTGATTAAAAAAGTAAAGTGCAATTCAGTGGTTCTTGATACACAGTCTAGGTAACCAAGGTGTGGGGATTTGTCTTAGACCTCTTCAGGGGAGCTACAAGTATCGTAATTATTTTTATAGGATATAAAAAATTAACTGATGTGATTTCAGATTCCACACTGTGGATAACCTGTAAGAAACTACTTTTTGTCAAGTTTTGGTCTAGTATCAAAACAGAATAACCACTAGTATTTGAAAAGGCTATTAATATGTTCCTTCCTTTTCCAAATTTATTTCTGTGTAAAGCTGAATTTTCTTTGTATCCTTAAACAAAACAACACATTGCAAATGATTGAATATAGAAGAAAATATGAAAATCTAGCTGTTTTCTATTTTGTTATGTTTCCGTTTTCTAATTCTATCCAGTTTAAGCCAGATATTGAAGAGAATTTGGGGGAAAAAACCTTAAAAATGTCATTTTTTTCTGTTTTGACAATATAGCTATTTTTAATAAAAAGTTATGTTAACCTTTAATGTATTATTTTAAGTTAGATGACAAGTATGAATTTTCTCAGGTTTAATTAATATATTATTAATTAATCCACATAAATGTTCTGTTGAGGGACCCAAGTTATTTTTAAGAATGTAAAGTTTGAGGACCATTGATGTAAAGAAATTATTTGGGGTCGATACTATTGGGTCTTAAAGACTGGCAAAGCAAGCCCACTCTCAGTTAAAAGGGAAGTTCAAGAGGTGTTAAAGGCATATCATCACCACATTGAAACTTTCTTCTTGATATAAAGAAAGATTAAAAGAAAATTGGACCAAATTATTTTCTTATCATACAATTGTTGTTTAATGCTGTGCAAATTCTTATAAAGATCCAGGGTACCATGAATATTAGATCGCTTATATAAACTATGGGTATGATGTTAATTTGAGGGATATGTTTCCTTATTCATTTTTCCTTTTGCCTCTACCTTTTAAATGATCTTATATACATACGTTTATTGCCACTGATCTTCTGACTTTATTGTAGCAAAACTTGGAAGAATACGGTCTTTTCGATCAGATCTGTTGGATGACTTAGTAGTAACATGTTGTTTGATAACAGTCAAATTCTGAGTGATGGCTCATAAAAACTTCATTCTTTAACCAGCATCAAACACATTCATGCAGTCCAAGTCCTAAATGTAGCTGGCTACCTAACATCCAAAGCTTGATTGATGCTAACAATGCTTGGACAATGTTCAAAACTCATTCTTTTTTACTTCCAGATTATGGTTTTCATCTTCATTTTGGTAAACACTCATATTGGCTCCCACTTCCAGAATATGTGTGACAGTGTCCTGACATTAGTTATTTGTGCCAAGGGGGAGGAATGGGCCAAAATCATTATTTTCTTAACTGATTTGAGATGATACTGAGAATTTTTAGTTGTAAAATTTTATCATATTGTACTCTGTGAGACTTTCAAATTGTTTTGTTTTCATCTAATTTAGTTATAATCAATATGTGGCTAGAAATAACTTCCACTTTTAATCTGGAAATATTCCAAAGAACAGTAAGATTCTCTCTGTTGAAATTAAAAAAGGCATGCAAGGAGTACAGTAGGGACAAAGTAGACTTCCTAAAATAAGCACATGATCTCTATGAGAAGAGGCTTATCTGTCTTATTCTCTACTATAATCCTGGTACTGAACACATGTACAACATATGAAGGGCACTCAATAAGTAGTTGCCTCATGAATGAGCATTCTTAGTAATTCTTTATATTGCTGAATAGGTAGATATAATATGATATGGAAATCTAGGGATGATTGCTACTTACTGATAGAACACAGAAATGAGAAGATCTCAATTAATACTTAGATTTTCTTTCTCTCTGTAGGATATTCTCCCTATAATGTAATGTATAAGGCAAGAAAAAAATCATTTAGGAGGGTTGTTAATATTTTTTAGCATGTATGTTGATTATATAAAAGCAATTTCTGGCATAACTTTGTGAATAATGGTTTTTGCCTTATAAGAAGAATTTTTTTCCTTTTTTCATGCCCTATCATTGCTGCTTTTTAATTTTTTGTTCAATTTGGTATATGGGAAAGAGAGCAAAGCTTAGATTCTAACCCTTCCAGTTTTTTTTTTACCTCTGTGCTCTTTAGGAAGTCACTCAACCTTTTCTGGTTTCAGAACCTTTCCTGTGAAATGAGGATTAAAAGATATTTGATATGGTGGAGATGAGCATGAAATGTAGCATGATGTCCTCCATTCAGGCAGTCAATAGTTATTCAGCTGCTCAATACTGGGCACTGGGGATATAGTTGTGAGTAAAATAAATATCTCTGCTTGTGGCACTTATAGACTAGAGGAGCAGAAGGATGTTAATCAAATAATCACATAGATAATAAATAGTATACAGGATGCTGTAACATTAAAGTGTAGGTCTTATTCATATTTAGTGTATAGAAAATACACAATATTCACTTAATTTGAATGGTTATTCAAGCCTATAATCTAAGAGACAAAATTAGGTTTCTTTCAAAGAAACTGACTTTGTAACCGAAATATTATTTTTTGAGACTTTATTTACCATTCTAAGAGCTAATAATTATTAATTGATATTTTATGTGTCAGATACAATGCCACATACTTTATAGCTATTTTTCAATTTAATTCTTGCAAAAACCTTCAAATGAGGTACTATTAAAAGTAAGTGATATTGTTCTTATTGTGGAATTGAGACTGAGCAAGATTAAATTATTTTAGGGGGTTGCACATGCGGGACCTGCACAAACCTAGCTCTTCTGGAACTTTTTTAACATGTTCAATCACCATGCTACTTCCTGTGATTATTTAAAGTAACTAGTTTAAAGTGATACTGCACGTTAAGATGACTAGCTTACTTATGGAGAAAAATAGATATTATATGCCTAGTGCTTTTCTGTATAAAGTATATGACTTTGTTGAACGTTAAGCCTTTACATTTCACTGTTTTAAAAAGTGACTCAACTTGTTATTATATCTGTGCCTAGGTGAAATAATTTAGTTTTCTTCAACCCCTACACTGCCCCACTAATTCAAATGTTTTCTTTATTTGTTAGACATAGTTAAGGAATGGTGATATTTTAAAGCAATCTCTGTTAATCTGGTCATACATATTTCTTCCTTAACGCCTCCTGGAACAAGTCACTAATTAATTATGAATGTGAGATTTGTAACATCTGTTCTGTCTGGTTACTTAATATGGGTTAAGAAATGTATTTTCTTTTTTCTCCTGGAAGACCTGTTTATAAAAATAAGACTTCAATAAAAATCATTCAATTTAAGCAAAAACGGGTAATACTTTGATTATATAACCTTTTATATATTTAGGCATTGTCATTAAC